ACACTTGGAACCTTAATAAGTGCTGAGGTGGTCACCGGCAAATGATTACCTTCAATATGTGGGGCTATATAAGGCTCTGGAGCAGTTAACGGGACTGTGATTCTTGTGTTGAATGCTTCATGGTGTTTATGTTTATGTTCGATTCTAATATGTATTTGTGGGAGGTGTATGTACCACGGGACACAATTTCCTAACAACATCCAAAATATATATTTAAAAAATTTACGTTAATCTGCGGTTCCGTCAAAAAGAATTCAAGAAACTTTATGTAAGAAGGAATTCTAAAAAAATAAAGTGGCCAATTGTAACAGGAGTTCAGTAAGTTGTCAAAATAATATCTAAAAACCTCAAAAAAGTTTTACAAAATTTTCAAAAAGATATCAGAAAATTTTTAACAGAAATTCAAAAGAATTTAACTACAGATTCTCGTAAGGGTGGCACAACCATGTAAACCTGTAAGTGATATGACAGACTTTTTAGATCCATTGACAACATTTCAGAATTGTTAAGCATACCTTAACAACATTGAAGGAATGGTATGATTGAAAAAGTTACTTTTGCCTTCGTAATTGCTGCCTTGCATGCTTCAGCTGCGCAGTGATAAGCACCCCAACGTTCATCAAGGTCGGAATGCTTTTTGGAGAACGAAAAAACGTTTCTTCCAATCGGCACCGCGCATGCGAAGACTCTTCAAGTCACGCGAAACTGGTTTCTGCCCACGCGCAGTGCTCAATTAAAAAAAAAATATTTCAGCCGTTTTACTTTGATGAAGAAGTAAGACCAGCGACGCTGTACGCTTGTCCCGTGTGTTTCTTCAGCGTTCTTGTCTGTTTTGCGCGCTGTTTCCTACGACGCATTCCCACCACCTCGCCCCACTATCCATTCTTCTATGATAGCTGGAAAGGTTGCCGCCAGCTATGAGCGACGGCCGGCGGCAACCAGACTGGTTGTCTGGTTGCCGCCGTCGCTCGCAGATGGTGGTAGCTGTCCAGAGTTTTCTGTCAACATTCGTTTGGTACCGGACACGAAACTGGGGAAACTAGCCCTTAACGGCTCCGCTAGAAGTCATCGAAAACCCCTAAACAAGTAAATTTCAGAAAACTTTGGGGCGCCTCAGGCGCACCCCCCGCGCTTCCCACGCGTCCCGATTCGTTCTTAAATTCACTTATTTAGAAGATTTCGATGACGCTCAGCAGGTTTCTAGTAGGAACCACACGTTTCTTGTACGTGTTACAAAATTAATTAACTAATTTTAGGTAATTATTTGACGTATTGTATCGATTAGTGCCACCATATTATGCCCCCTGGCCATATACGTCCCCTCCACAGACCGTGTTATGTAACTCTCACGAATTTTGTAATACAAATTTCGTAAATCCTAAAAAAAACTCCATGTATATGGGATCAAAAGTAGTTTTCTTTTCTTTTAGTTTGTTAGGACTAGAGCCACTAAACATACTACGCCTCAGATTAACGATACAACGGCCATCTTGATGCTCAAAATTCTTCTTTCTAAGACGGCCAGCCGACCCACAAGGTAAGGGGAACAATAAAGCAGCGTCAAAAGCGCGAGTTACCAGGCCTCTTTTTATGCTTATGATTGTTTCAGCGATGATAGAACACGCGCAGAAACACGACACGAACACCATGATGGGGCGCTTTTGGCGTTGTCCAATTGGTTTCCATCAGCTCTACAGCGTCGGCTGCGCTTGGACATAAGCTGAAGCGAAACCGATCGCCGACAAACAAGAAAAGCCCCAGGGGCCCTAAACTCGTCAAATACAAAGTTGAGCCAAACATTCGTCGAGAGCGCCGATTGGACGGAGGTGACAAAAACATGGAGTCATCCTTGTGATAGTCCAATCGGTGCGCTCCCTGAACATCGGCCTATACTTCGTGTTTTACGAGTATAGGCCGAGTATAGGCCCTGGATCACGCCGCGTTCACATTGGTCAAGCCGTTCATATAGCAGACGCAACAAGACGTTGAGCGCTTGAGTGCCGTGACGATGCACTTTTGGCGCTGCTTATTGATTGGCTCCATCGTAACGTAGCGTTGGCTGCGATTGGACTTAATGTGAAACAAATTCTATTAAAAATGATATTTTTTTTTTTCGTTTCAAAAAGGTGCTTGTATTAACGCGATAACGTTAAGGAGGTCGTGTCGCAGAAAAGCAGGCATCGCGGTGGCCTTGTGACGGGAAAATCCTGATTGGTCGATAGGCTCATGACGTCACAGCCATATCACTTAAAAGAAAAAAATAGAAGGGCATTATTAAAATGTTATCAAGACCAACTTCCAAGATTTAAAGAAAAAAAAAAGTGAAATGTCATCAACACCGTCATTCAGCCAGGAGCAGGGAAGCGGATAAATCACGACAAGTTAGATAATACACTCTAAAAAAAGTCTGTGCGTCTACTTTCACGCACACCACTTGGAGAGCCAATCGCCGCAACTTACGGTGGCAGCTCAGCGAATGACGATGCCGAAACATATATTTAGACCAAAAAACGCTGTCTGAGTTGTGACATTAAGCAATGCAAGCGTGACGTTTTGCATTGCTTAATGTCACAACTCAGATCGCGTTTTTTGGTCTAAACATATGTTTCCGCATCGTCATTCGCTGAGCTGCCTCCGTAAGTTGCGGTGATTAGCTCTCCGAGCGTTGTGCGTGAAAGTAGACTTACAGACATTTTTTAGAGTGTAGCATACTTGAAGGTTTTAATCGCTTATTTGCTAACATTGGCCCACTGCTTGCAAGCGACATTATATCAAGCAGCTCGCCATTGTTTTCCCAGCCCGAGTTTTGCCCGCATACTTGCGTTTTAGAGTGAATAACCCTTAGAGAAATTCAATCCACAATTTCTAGAATGCCCACTAGTGAATCAACGGGGTCTGACGAAATTTCAATCAAAGTGCTGAAATTAAACATTCGGTAAAAGTCGGAGTCTACCGAGATTCGTTAAAAAATGAAAAAGGTTTGTCCTATTAATAAAAGTCGAAATGTCAATGTTCGGGAACCTGAAAATTATAGACAAATCTCGGTACTAGACATCAACAGAGTATTCCAAAAACTTCTAGTAAAACGCGATAATTCATTCACGTATAGACAAATATCAAGTGATACCGCTCCGTCATGGCTTCCGTCCCAAAAATTCTACGTCCAGTGCCGTCATCTCCCTTAACCAATTAATAAATAGTTCACTTAGTGAAAATAACATCACCCTTATAGTATTTCTTGACATTAAAATTAAGCATATGACGCTGTTGATCTCTCCATTGTAATTAATCAACTAGAGCTATGTGGTTTTAGAGCTGTATAGCTTACTTTCTCAAAAAACTATTTAACCGCTTGTTTTTAGTTTGCCTCTATGCTTAACTTTAAATCCACTATTACACCAATCACCACCGGGGTCCCACAAGTGTCGGTACTAGGACCCATAATGTTCTTATCCTATGTCAATAACTTTTGTAAACGAAGCTCATAAATATTATTGAATGCTGGTGACACAGCTCTCTCATATTATCATCAGTGATTCGATAACATAAAAAGTGTAATTAAGGAAAATATTACCCTTGTTTAAGAATGGTGCAATTATAACAAATTGGCACTCAATATAGATAAGGACAAAGCATATAATATTTCGCTTTAATAAAAACATACGAAGTATGACAACTCCAAAATTTGTATTAATAATTGTATTTTTGAGCAAGTGAATTGATTCATACACCTAGGAGTAGTATTCGACAGCCCCTTAAACTGGCAACGTTACATAACTTACACCTTACAAAAAATAGCATGCGCATGTTAGATGTTGCTAAAGGTTCGGCAGTGTTTCGACCTTCACACCCTAAAAATAATTTTCTTTTCAATATTTCAATGTCACCTCACATATTGTATAGAAGATTCGGGAACGTCTTACGACAGTTACCTCGTATCAATGAATATTTACAGAAGAGAGAAGTTAGAATTATAACCCACTCACATCAAATATTAGAATCGCGCGTTTTATTTAATCAACTTAGCGGTTTTACATTCCGGTACCTGATAAAACACAAAATCACTACGAAGTTCCATAGAATTGTAACTGATAACGATCTCCTTCAAATAACAATACTTTTAAAATGTGCCCGCATTACTAGAGGTACCTTGGCAGTTTAACATACATAACACACACGGGGAAAGACTAATCCAATTTCGTGGCACCAAAATATGGAACTCCCATTCTAATAATCTTCGATGTTAGCATAATTTTATTTAGTCAAGCTCTAAAACATTACCTTCTGCTTTCTCTCTCACCCTCATAACCATCCTCTTGGTTTAATAAAACTTCTATTGCTCATATGATTGTGTCAGTTCGTTGTATTTTTTGTTCGTAGTCTTTCCGTATAGATTATATACTAACCTGTGTTGGTCGTCCTACGCCTCAGGCGGCTTATTTTAATGAACACAAAATAGCCAACCGGCTAGGCCTCGATTTGCTTTCTCAGTAAATTGTATTTGTCTCTTGATGATAATAAAACTGAATGGGAACTGATTTGAAGTTCCGCCTCCAGTACGCGATCGTTGTTTTCCTTCAGGCTGTGAGTGCGCGTGCAAGTGTCATCAAAGGCACAAAACTAGCGCTCGAGACGGTGAGTCTACTAGATCCACATATACTTTGTTTCGCCTTATGTACAAAAACAGTTGACGCTACGAGATGATCGAAGCAGTCATTCAGCGTCAAAAACAAACCAAACTGTTGTCTATCATCGCTGAACCAATCATGTATACGGAAAGGACCCGTGACTTGCACATTTGACACAGTTTGATTGGTCCCATCAGCTCGTAGAGTCGGCCGCGTCTGGACGTTAACTGAAACGAAGTATAGCGCCAGTAAGCTTGTGTAAAGTTAGAAACATTCAAACGTTCCTACCCACAATTGTTTCACGGCCCCTTTTAACGAGACGTCACTGTACAAGCACGCTGCTCGCCTTATAGACTATAGTGGCCGCGTGACTCACTTGGCCCTTAGGCCGCTGCTCTCCAGCTGCCTGTCTCGGACAGCCCTGACGAAGTCTTCGTGCCCGCCCAGCTGGGTGGTGACCACGGCGAACTGGTACCAGGCGTAGCGCTCTAGGATGGCGAAGATGGCGGCCACCTGATGCACCACTGATGGCGCCAGCTGCAACACTCGGGCCTGCGACACCCGCTAGGGGCACAGAACGGCGAGTCAAGGGAAGGGCTGAGACTGGCAACACCTGTCAGGAGATGACGTCTTCCGACCGGGACATATCTTCGATCTTTGTTAGACGAAATGATGAATGTTTCCATTCTTGCGTGATGAGTTATACTCTTGATAGTCAAGTTTAATATTGCATGTAGATTTATGTGTATATTTCTGCTTATATTTCACCGTATGTATTATTTACATTTGCGAATACATTTATGTATATTTTATGTAGTTACTTTTATCACTTTCCTGGAATAATGACCTCTAGGCGCTGGAGGTTAAACTAAATAAATAAAAATAATAAACAAATAAATAAAGAAATAATGGGACTTCTTCACTAACATACGCTTACATTTTTTTTTTTCAAAGTGACATATCTTGCGTAGTGTCTATGAACCAGCGCTATTTCGATCTCAAGAGAAAACTAAGCTCCTTACTCCTTGTAGGTCATTCATACTGACATAATATTAGACTGTTATTTCACTCCCTAATTGACGTTTGCATGCAAATACAGGCTGAAGCGATGCAAAGTGTCCGGTGTACCGGGTGTTTGTAAAAAAAAAAAGAACCATTTTTTTCTTATTTTTGCCCGCGAGAATGCGACGTTAGCGGTGTTGATAGAACGCGAAGGTTTGAGAACATGTGCTCACCTGGATCAAAAGATGAAAGAGAAAGACGAAATTTCTCAACGGACCGACGTGAAACAAAATCTAATCAAGTAAAAAAAAATGGCATCGTGAACGCATGTGAAATTTATATCAGTGAAAAACACTTGGCAGCAAGAAAGATTATATAACGTCTCTTTCCTGCTGCCATTTTTTTTTTACTGAAATAAAGGATACAGGCGCCCACAATGTCATTTCTTGTTGTAACGATATTAGTCTTAAGCGGACGACAACTCGTTCCTTTTTTTACTTCTAATCCAGATAACGCCATGTTATTATTATATTGCAATTAAATTCAAAGGTGCAAGCGAGCTGGACAAGAATGACGAAAATAATCCCTGGGGAAAGGGAAACAAGGCAACTAATTGCCAGATGGAAATTGTTTGCACAGGAACAGCATACTTTTTTAGATTATGCAAGCATTGCTTCTTAGCAAAATATATGGCCACACCAGGTGATGATTCAGCAACCACATGTGCTTTAATATCATTAAGAGGATTTTACAAGGAAGTAGGGGACACATTGGAATTTCTAAGAACAAGGTTTGACCAAGCCTTTTTGGCCTCGTGCACTAAAAATAAGCTAACCAAACATCTGCTAGTTTCATTGTTTCCAGATCCTGTATTTCGTGTTTTTCCTTACAGGCCTCCACTAAATTGCAAGCCGGATGTTTTAAAAAGGGTTAAACTAATGTTGATACCACCGAAGTGTAAAACTTTCTTTTATCAATTTCACTCTCGTACCACAACTGTCAAAGAGTGGCTAGATCTACGCGGGATGGAAACATACGGTAGCACTAATTGTAGGCTTTGAAAAGTTACCGAAACGTTCACCCATGCCTTTATTCTTTGTGTCGACGCTGTATTATTTTGGGATGTTTTCAAACGGACGCTGAAAAAATACTGAAGTGGAAGAGACGAATCTTCGCTACTTGCATTTCGCCGAACACCTCGACACCATTCAAGACATTTTAGTAGTTCTAGGTCTTTATGGTTTGTGGAAAACGCGTGAAGTGAATAATGAAGCAGTTGTCGCAAAGCAATCCTGGGTAAATTTTAAAAATATTGCCATTCAAGTAGGTCAGGGCATATTGGCACGCTGTAATGAAAATGATGAATGGAAAGACGTAAAAAATCTCAGTTGTTCCCCTGATATTATATAATCGACGACAGCACCAGTTGACCTAGAAAGCATCATTGACACCTTTCTTTTTAAGATGAGCGTTGTGGTTTTGTAAATTTTTATTGTATAATGTAACGAGAATGAAACGTACCGCTTGTATGTAACAAAAAGGTAACGCATTGCATGTATATAATGTAACGCATTGCATGTATATAATGTAACGCATTGCTTGTATATAATCAAACGGAAATGTGGAGCTCTATCTGTATTTAGTGTAACGCAATAATGTAAATTATAGTTTTAAACATGCTGTAAATAAACGCCTAAACGAATATACTTGTTAGCTCAGTTGGTAGAGCGCTTGACTAGAAATAAAGAGGTCCCTGGTTCGATACCAGGACCAAGCGGATTATTTCCGGTGGCGCAACAGTCGCCTAGCCGCAGTCTTGGGTAGTAACGCCGTTACTGTTACTTCTTTAGTAACTGTAACGAGTTACTTTTTAAAAATGTGACTGTAGTTTTATTAGTTTTTGAGGTAACGATGAAAGTAACGACGTAACTTTTGACGTTACTTTCCAGTTTTATTTTTTTATTATGAATAATCTATCATTGAACGAGTACAATGTAGTGATTCCTTGCACTTCCCAAATTGTCTGTTCCGACATTTCGATTATCAAGTTGGCCTTGAAAACGATCCAGCCTGTGAATACGATCCTTTTTCGGCGAGTCATGATCGGAATATAGCCACGTGTAGATTTTATGAAAACACCTTTACGCACGCGCTTGTACTTTGTGACTGAACACTTACATCTTAGTGTATTGAAGCACAATCTCTGTTCCGGTTTTCTTTCTTCTGCGTGAACCCTTTTTAATCGGGTGAATCAACCGTGCAACAATAATACACGCGGACGGCACTGCGCAGGTTTCGTATTTTGATTAGCGCCACTACTCCGGCGTGGTATCAACAGTCGGTGCAAAATTTACTGCTGTTGGCGCGGGGTTTCTTTCTGGCTTGCCGGGTACGAAGTGAAATATGTCCAGGGACTCTGTAAACCCAGCGCAACCGTCAGGAGCCAGCAATGTGCTAGGGATACCAAGGATATGGATGTTGATGAGAACAAGAAAGAACTACCAAGGCCGGCGTACAGAGAGTATTTTGCTGTGGTGAAGTTGGTTGGCTAACAAACTGACCGCGGGAAACGGCATTCTGTTGCCTCAACGCCTACCCGGCAATCCAAAACCTGTTCCTGCGGCACAGCACAGATATTCCATCCAGCGCGCCAGATAAGCTCCTGTTCAGCAGCGGCAGGGACGTGTTCGCCATGAAAGGAGGGAAACTTTCAGGCACTAATTTAGAGAAACAACTGCTGCTGAATTGCAATATGAAGTAAAAAGCGTACTTTTTAACTTTATGCAATAAAACGCAGTGTAAAGCGTTTTCTAGTTTTTCCTAATTTTTTTTTTGTTCAACAAAAGTAACTTAAAATTACCGACGTCACTTTTAAAGTAACTGTAACTTAACTAGTTACTCTTTTGTTGCGGTAACTGCAACGACAACTTCACTACTTTTTTCTGAAAGTAACTGTAACTGTAACGAATTACGTTTTAAAAGTAACTTACCCAAGACTGCCTAGCTGTGTTTGGAGATTTGTGGTTGTCCTTTGTCCCCCGTGTTTTCCTTTCTCCAGGGATTATTTTCGTCAACGTCATGTCCTTAAACTTTTGCGTTCTGTCACCACAGGTAGCGTCACACCCTTACAAAGTGTCAACTTCCTGCCCCGCGTAGATTTTTTTTTTTTTTTTTACAAAAATTGAGAAACACGTTTGTTTTGTTTTTTTGGTTTTTACAAACACCCGTTACCCGATACTATGAATTTTGAGCTTTCTGACCGCTCACCGTATGCCCTTTATCCAGTGCAGCCTTAGGTATGTTCATGCGCATGCTTCGGACGCAGTCATTCACCCGATATTTTAACCCTGGAGAGTGCGCGGGGAGACAGAGGGACAGAAGAACACGAATCTCAAAACACAGCCGAGGTTCATTTCACAATACACAACCTTAAATAGGCAATCAAGAAAGAAAAAAGAGGGTGAACAGCCCAAAAGAAGACACGGAAGAGAAAGATTACGCCAGGAGTCCCCAACCAGGATACCAAAGCAGACTCTGCAAAAAAGAGATTGCGGGGTCTGATTTTGGAGGATGACGTGTACACTGTTTAGATACGTGTACGCGTGATGCCATCGCTGTCTTCCGTGTCTTCTTTTGGTCTGTTCGGGCTATGGCTTGGTTGCCTATGTAAGGTTGTGTTTCGTGAAATAAACCTCAGCTCGTTTGGAGATTGCTGTTGTTTTGCCACTCCGTTTCCACACGCGTTCACCTCCTTCTTAGATCGCTCGTGACACGACACTCAATATCCCAAAGGGCTTAGGGATAAATAACCGGAGAGAAGCTCGCCGGACAAAAGCTCACCTAACAAAAACACCGGACAAAATCTTATTTTTGGTGGGTCCTGACAAAAGCTATCTAATTCTTTGGCAGACCAAGACAGCAGTTCACCTTTCTTTTTTTTTATAGCCCGGAGGAAAGCTTGGTGGGAGGGGGCAGTAAAATCGGCTAAGCTGTGGGTTAAAGGGAGTTACGTAAGTGATTTCACGCAAGTGGCCTCATTCAGTAAATATTATCTGAAAAGTATATTCTTGGAACCCGGTTAACTAAACACCAATATTTAACTTTTAGATAGTACTAGGGTGTTTCCTATTGTTCTTCAGTTCTATGCGGGTGCCTTTCATATGGCGACTTTGCCGCAATATAGTTGCTTTTTTTTTCGGTAAAGGTAATCATAGGCACGTTACTGCTACAATGTAAGCGTGTTATAGCAACAGTTACTCTAAAAAAAGAAATTGACCCTGTTACAGTTACAGGTACAGTTACAAACTTGAAAGGCTAACTTGTTAGAATTGCAGTTACTACAAAAAGGTAAAGCCGTCATTTTTTTTATTACCTTTCAAAAATAATAAAAGATTTAAAAGATCCTTCTGTCAACGTGCCTTTAATTTAGTGTAGATTTGTTTTTAACAAAAATCAAGAACCATACCTTGCGCTGGTCCTCCATACTTTTTAATGGCATGCGCTGCTGAATTTCTCGTGGCATTAGAGGTCATTTACAAAGCAAACAATTTTATTCGAATGAGCTTGGGTTCCGGTTTACGTGCAAGAGAGGTTTGCTTTTGATTGGGGAAGTGAAAAAGCCGGTGAGCTTCAGTCCGGTGAGCTTTTGTCCGGGATTCGTGGGCATGCTGCCATTACTGATTCCTGTTTTGTTAAAGGAACCATGAAACAAATATCATAACTATGCTGATTGTCACCTTCAGAACAGTTGTAAAAAGCGTCGACTCCTTGCAAGTGTTACTAAAGTAATTAGTCATTTTGATTACAAATAGCTGACGAGTTACTAAGATACTTGTAAGTGTGTTTAAAGTTAGCTATTTGGTAGTTTATCAAAATTAACACCATTAAAACAGAAAAAGCGACATTTAGTTCCCCCGGCAACTAAATTTTTTAAGAACAAATTTGGGTTGCGTAAGAACTATGCCTGCAGCTGGAGTTTTCCTGAGTTACCAAACAAATAAAGAGCTCAATATGAACTCTTCAAGTTCATAAAGACGAATAAATCTACCAGTTCTTCTTTATTCTTCTATACATATGCTAGCTTTTGCAAAAACAAAAACAATTAATAAAAAATACTCGAATCCTGTTTCTCTCTTCGACTACTGTTTTTTTAACTGATGGTCACATGTTTAAGACACGTTCAGAGTAATTGAGAATGCTAAGGCAAAAAGAGGATCATCCCCATGAAAAGTTGTATCATTCTAGTTGGTCTCATTGCAGGAGAAAAAGAAGAGGCGTAGAAAAGTGACGCCTTTTAAAGAGGACACCAGCTTGTTGGCAAGTGTGTACCACTGAGCGAAGGTGTCAATAGAATCCTAGAACATATCGGCGTTATATCAATATGCTTGTCGCCGATATTGGAAACATGTTAGGTATGATGCCTTGAACCAGGCTAGAGGCCAGTCTTAGTCCTAATGCCATGAGCAAATGCCTTGAGCCAAGCAAGATGCCAAATTGGGGGGGAAGCCCCAGACTACGTCGTACGCCGAGTTCAGAGCAAAAGCGAAGCCAGAAGCCAATTCCTGTGTCCAGCCTTGGACAACATTTCTAGATTGTCTCGGATGGCAAACTTTCCCTGACGTTTTCCACCAGTTGGCCAAAGTGCCAACTTTGTGGCATGCTGCGGCGCGTCTTCGCAACAGCAGTTCATAGAGCAGCCGCAGCTTGCATAAATAATGGCGCTTCGATTAACTGGAGACAAACGACGGGGGCAGAAGAGGGTTCAGCTCCTACCCCTATGGGGGTTTGCCAACTGTCAGCGTCTAGTAACGCTGGCTTAAAGCTAGGCTCTTCGCCCAAATCAGAGATATACCAGTAGCCAAGCACCGAGCAAAACAAGCATGTAGTCAAGCTGTACTAGAAGGACATTCTGTGCAAAGCCCGCTTTCTATTTCGTCATACCGCCATACGCCCACCATCTTGGCGCTATTTTTCATCGTGCGGCCTAGCTACTGCCTAGTTTGATAGCCTTGCATGTCCGCTGTTTTCGCCGCGCCATGCTCGGCAGCGTGGTGGCGCTGTGGTCATCGCACGACACGTTTCGGCAAGTCAACACCTCTCATACAACAGGGTCCTAATTGATAATTTTCTAAATCCGCCGTAGGTGGCCGTCATAGAGCCTAGAATAGACACGAGTGCTACGTCAGCATTTGGCTAGGACTAGTGTCTACTCAGTGAAGACGCTAGTTCCAGGCGAGCACAGCATTCGCGTGCAATCCAATGATCTCCCTACACAATCCCTAGGGGGCGAGGGTGTACATCCCCCTTGTTTTTGTGAAGGCACCCCCTTAATTCGCAACTCCTCTATTCTCAAGCCTCTCCCCCCCCCGCCCCCCCCCCCCCCCCGAAAATTTAGACCCCCCCCCCCCCCCTAATTTCAATTCCTGGGGAAATTCCTGGTGCAATCCGCGGCCCGCGCTGACTTCTGTTAGGCGACGGAGAACGTTTCCAACACTGGGCTCCTTGTCTAAGAGGTGGTTGGCAGGCACACTCGACTTAGGAGACACCCTCCGAATTCGCGCTTTGCACACTTGTCCATCTAGTACATCATAATGTAGCGTTAGCGAGTACCTGCGTCTGCAGATGGCGAACCAGCCAAGACAGAACATCAGCGGCAGCGACAGCAGCGTTGGCAGTCCGCAGCAGAAGCATGAAAAATGGTGCCCCTGAGCCAGCAAGTCCGCAACAAGAAACCACAACTAGTGCTAGTGCAAGCAGCCGCTACCGAGAGTTATTCAATGTCTATTTGCTAAGTCTATTCTCAAGAAGGCTCACGCGTTTACTTTGCCGCAGCACACACGAAAGTATGGCCTTTCACCATTAAATGAAGTTCACTAAAATGCGCCTACACGAGCGATAAATTAACATTAGCTTCTGCTGGCTATAATCGGGCCCCTAGGTGAACCAACATGAATTGGGTTCTGCAGCAAAGGCACGGAGCCATTAATAGTTTGGGTCTTTTCTACTCTGGGATGGGGGGAATGACCTAGCTTATGTCCTTTCCTCAAGCTCGTCTTGAGAGTGACGACTATTGGCTGGAGGACCTTCGATTCAGGAAGGATTACCATAACCCTTCCGGTTTGGCTTCCAGTGTCTTTCCCGTGTATTCAACGCCGCGTCTCAACATAAAGGGGCAATTCGTTGGTTCTTTGCAATTGAAAGTAAGATGTTGCAGTGCCACTGAAATATAATTTTTATTTGCTCATGCATTTCACTGAGTCGCCAATGCCACAGCAAGCACGCGACGGCACTCAAGTAACATTGGAAATGTGGTCATATCATTCATTGTACGTAGAACGAATGCCAGCAAAATGCGCATTACTTCTACAAAACATTCAATCAAGGGCTTGCATGCACGTTACAACTTCAAGCCCGGACTCTAATAAACATGCACCAAACCTAGGGTTCTGAGCTTTCAGATAAATCTGAAAAACTGCGAAAAAGACCCGCCGGTATAGTTTTGGTCTGTCAATTCAAATTTATCTGATAAACTCCAAACTTTGATCCCCCAATGCACTGCCCCCAAGCCGCCCCGAGTAGAAATAAGGAAAGGAAAAAACAACGGTATTTTACAATAAAGTTTGGTCAGCGCACAGGATCAATGGTCATGAGAAAATGCCACCACAGTTGTCTTTCAAATCTCAGACCCTTGTCAAAAGGGGTCCTACATCTTATGTCGTCAAGGTTAATTCAAGACGAGAGGTACTCACGGAATTATAGCCGTACCTAACATCTCTAAAAGTGCACGAGGAAAAAAAAAAAAAAACAGCGGCCGAGAATGGTGGGTGCTTTGGTCGAGCTATTTGCATGATTTTCGTGTTTTTACTTCTGCCGATATTTACGTACGGCAGTTTCCTTTCTTTAGAGAAGAAAAACTCTACGAAGAAAACTAGGCGAACAGCAATTAACGTCTTGACCAGGAAATTACTTCACCTTCAAAGCAGCCGCACAGGTTTCACGTGGCAGGAATATGTTGCAGTGTAATAGCATAAACTTTATTCTCGATCAAATTTTTTTTTCTTCTTTATACCTAACCGCCGGTTAGTCTCACGACATTGTCGAATCTCTGCATGATCTGAGGGTACTTAGAAAAGGGAACATTAGTATAGTCTGTCATAAAATTTCTCCGAGCATCAATATACCTCTACCCATTAGAGACAGCCTCGACTAATTCGTAAACCTTTTTTGCGGAATGGAGGATCCGACTCCATTTATGGGACGGCTTCCCACCACCTGGAATAGTTGTGCTTAAATAGTTTAGTACGAGTCCATGACAAATGCTGCGTACTGTGCTCTCTGGTCACTGCCTAAGGAGACAAAGGAATCTGCTGCTATTTCTATTGGAGGTAGGGAGTGAAGGACAGCGCACGTATGCACGGGACTGTTCTTGGAAAAAATATGTTGCGCCTTCGGCATCTCAATCGTGTCCCCTTCCCAACTATACTCAAGCCAGATTCGATACGTTGTTAACGGAGCCAAGAAACATCTGCCACTTTACTCCTCGAATATGTCTGATGTAAATACCAGACAAGAATATAAGACACGACATTTGACAGGCTAGGCAAGGAAGGCTATAGTCGGGTAGGGTAGAGCGAGACGGTAAAATAGGGTTGATATCGTTTGGTTTTGCTGGGTAAGGCTAGTGTAAGTCAGTTTATTGTATGCTTTGTTGGGATTGGTCAGCGTGTACCGACCTGATCTAGGCCAATGTTGTCGGCGTTCCAGGCGATTACTGGGACGCCCAGGTACCCAAGAAGCTGAAGCACGTATTGCACCGAGGCCGCGTTGCTGCCGAAGACGGCTGAGTTGGTGAGGTACAGGACAGCCACCACGTCATCCGGAAGGAGGTCTTCGCAGAGGCGCCGCAAGATGTCCCTAGGCGGGCACAGAGACAAGCGCTGTAAGAAAGCACAACACCAAGAGGCACCAGGAACAATTCATGTGCATAGCCGTGTTATAATTAGAGTTCTGTCTTTTCAGGGTTTATTATCCTTCAAATTCGTGTTTTCTTTTTAGTTTACTTTTTGAACGTCAGTGACACTTATTAGCAAACGAATTCCTGATTTTCACTCGCCTTAACAGATGAAGCGTCGGCTAACTCTTATCTTAGCTTTCTTTGTAAGAGCTAAATTAGATATCGTTCTCCCTCTTTCTCTCTCCGTCTTTCTTACGGTGACCAATATTGGACCCCTAGAGAGAGAACAGGTGCTTTAGGAACTGGAATCATTAACTATATGTTCAAGTGTGCGCATTTGATGATGGCACTTTTTTTGAACGTACCGACCCCTGGACAATAAGGCTGCTCGGTGAAATTCAACATGACGTCGCGAAAAAGCGTTCGCTGCTTACTTGGGCGTTGGTTGTAGAGACATGCGCACCGCCTTGGCCTGAACGGAGAAGAGCTGCATGAAGCGAAGTCCCGATGTCCGTCCTTTGGTCATGAGGGACATGCCATCTCGAAGCTTCTGCTGATACTTGCGCTGCTGGCTCAGCAGCGATGTGTCGGGAAAGATGGCACCGAAGGTCAGGTTCTGCCACCAGAAATAAATTGCTCTCAGTGAGACGACTCGACAAAACATTTCCATCTAACTCTTTTGAGGTCATTCAAAGATGACCCCCAAATCTTTAACACCGGAATAAAATATTTTAATAAGGTAACATAAGATTTTTTGGGAGCACCGTTTATAAAAATATTATTATTATTTTTTTTTTTTTTTGCATCGTGCAACATTATTTGAACAACTCAGTTTGGAAACTGTGATAGGAGCCTGCTTTCTAGAAGCGGCCCCAAAGCGTAGTTCGGAATCGAACTATATGCGATTGCAACGCCGCCGTTTCCGCCGCAGTGGCCATTTCGGTAACTATACATATTCGAACGCAGAACAAAACACAATAAAACCTTACCTATGTCTGCAAAGTGAACACCCGCTGACCGCGTTGTATCAAAATGGGTTATGTACCGCCAACCAAACAGCAAACTACAAACGAACTAACGGAACGGACTGACCGCCAAGAAGCGACGCTGTAATCAAATCTGGGTTCCAGTAGTTCGATTCCAGAGGATGCGAGGGGTACGCGTTCCACGGGCAAGTTTCCCAACTGAGTTGTTCCGCTAACGTTAGAGTGGTGTAACTAATAAATTGTTTGCTTTCCTAGGGCGAAGCCATTCGACTGGTGCCATTCTTTGTTTTGTCGGAAGAACAGCATGCCATCCCGTACTTGAAGACACTAGATGTCATCATCATAGCCGGATAGGACTGTTCAAACACTTTACCCATTTAGGTCTTTTTTTAAGCTTCGTGAAAGAGGTTTGAGTGTTCGCCCTAGAAAGCGAAGAATTATTCAGACCAGACTATCCTTACGATATGGCTTTAAATACGCTTTCACCATATCTAGATGCCAAACCGAGATGCCGAGCCAATAAAACTGGGGTTTACGACCCTCCACACAGATCATTGCTGGGGAGAAGGACACAGTGGAATCTAACGTGGCAATGAATTGTCCTGCTGTAGTAATCAGGAAGTGAAGTGAACGGAATCGGAAACCAAAACCGAAGGTCGACGGCGGCGCCCATGCAGAGCTGCTTAAAAGCGTCCTCTATTAACACTGAACAATGCGAAGAGCACCTAAGCACAAACGGTCTTGCTCGGATTCTACAAGTTATCATCGTGGACGCCGGAAGTTCCAGGTGGACTAAGATGACTTATGCGAAGCGTAAGTTCGTCTGCTTCTTTTGCAGGGGTTCTGGTGACGTCAGAACGCCGAGCTCTGATTAGTTCTGAATGAAAAATAGTGGGTAGACGTCAAGGCAGCTTGCTTTGAGCTCCTCCCGCTATCCTTCAATCAGAGCCAATCAGAGTTTGGCGTCTTTCTGATGTCACCGCAACTCCTGCAGACGAAGCAGACGACTTGCTCTCCGCATAGTGACTGACAATCGCACGGCGTGATCTATCATGTTCACACTTCTTGCTTTGTGATTAGTCGTTTCGCCATTTTTATGAACGAGTACCTTAATCTTGTTGGCTGAGGGGAGGGGTAATTGAACTCGCAAGTGATGACGCCACAACTTGGCGCTGTCCTTCGAACAAACCCTTGCTATACTCCGCGACAACTTTTCTTGGCAATGCAGTGGAAGGTACGTCCCGCGTCCCCTCTCCCATTTTGAGTGTAGGCAGGCTCTCCTCCTCCCTTTTTTCGGGGAGAGGAGGAGAGCCTGCGTACACTCAAAATGGGAGAAGGGACGCGGGACGTACCTTCCACTGCATTGCCAAGAAAAGTTGTCGCGGAGTATAGACCTTTTTCGCTTACTCTCGCCCCCGACCGCCAAGAAGGCATATCCGGTATGGGCGACGAAAAAATATCAGAACGTTTCAACCTGCAAATGGTAAAAAAATAAAGTGGAGGCAAAACGAGAATCTGTGACGGTTACCTTTATGTCCTAAATGCCTTCTATTGGCGTGGCAACGGCAAAACAATGTTTTCGCCCATACTGGAAGTGACGACAATTCAAGATGGCGGCGCCCTTGCGGAAAAGGTCTATAGGGTCGTTAACAAATGCATTTGAGCTCGACGCGAGGTTAGAATTTGTCTGATAAAAAAGTTAAATTTTTTTCTTGTAAGCATTGTGTCGTCTCGGCAGACTTGCACGTAACGAGTTATAAGTAACTGATTACTTGTAATCAATTACATTTTTATAGTAACTTTTTAACGCTTCCATTACTTTTTCGAGATACCGTTCGCTGTAATTCAATTACTATTTCTTGTAATCAATTACCAGTAATCAAGTATTTGTTTCCGAAGGAACTAAAATTATTGAGGAGTTTTTTTTTTTTTACGTAAAACATCGCTCTGCCTGCCGGTGCGTCACTCATCTATGCTGCACTAACGGTGGACCACTTTTCTAACCCCTAAACAATTCTCATAGATACCAAGATACCAGAAGGACGCTCAGCGACGTTTTGATTGTCAAGGGTAGCGCAAAAGTAACGAGAAAAGTAAGCTATTACTTTCTGGTAATCTGTCACTCACTTCTGTGATGCAGTAATGATTAGAGTAAACAGTTACATTTTTAAATAAAGTAATTGTAATTATAATCGGTTATTCTTTTTTCAGTAACACGTACAAGACTGCGTCTTAGTGTATAATTTATCTAGCTAATCGTAAAGGCTCTTTTTTTCTCTTTATATATTTATTTTAAGAAGGGTGAAGGAACTGTGAAGCCGATTCATGAGCTTGGTGGTAAGTTACGGTTACTATGTGAAGTGTATCAACGCCGAAGTGCGGGCCAGCGCGCATACGTTTCAGGAAGTTTTAATGGCACAGAAGTTGCTTCAGTGTGAACATTTGTGTGATCAAACGAACTGTCTGTAAGCAGATTAAACTTGTCTGACGTTTTACTAAGGCCTTTCGCTATTTGGGAGTTTGCTGAAAACTGAACAATCCGAGGGAAATTTTTTTTCTTCTCCTTTTTTTTCTCACTTATTGATGGCTACCATCAGGTACGCCACACATTCTTATATTGCAAGCATGCAAACAAAATGTGGGCCAACCAAGTAGGACCGACTAAGAAAGGGCCGGTTTTTAAGCCTCTTGAGACGGAGTAGGTTCTCCTCCGCAGCAGCGCATCCGGTCCCACACCGTCGCAAGAAGCTTAAAACCGGTCTTGTTTCTCTCAGTCTTACCTGGTTGCAAGTCTGTGAACGGCGCTTTAGCGTAAAAATAATGTACGCTTTATTACCATGCACGTCAACTGCGAAATCAAAAAGAAGACTTTTAGATCACGCACTATACATATTCTCCTCTCGTCACATCTTTAAAAGACGCCATGGGTGCGATGATTTTCCTGAGACAGTATGCCGTATCGCACGCAAATACGATTCCTTTTGACGAACTTGATGACTCTTCTTAGACCCGCCGCGTTCTCAATCAATACGATATCAAAATCGCGTTCCTATGCAAACGATTAAGACTGTTGCAGCGGCATACTTCAGTCGGGTTTCAGCCATTCCGCACGCGTTCGACGTCTGCAGCAGGCATCTCAAGACGTACCGAGGACCGGAAGTGGCCTTCGCAAATATTTCAGAATAGCCGATTCCGGGCAAACTTCTGTCGTGGTTTAAGAGCGAAATGCAGACTTTCTTTCCGTATTCTTTTTTTAGACGTTTAAATTCCACGTCCGATTTTCGAACGATGTTTCCTTTCGAATCGAAATCCGGTCCCACGTATTTGCCCATAGCAACGCCCCTAGCAACGGTTTGTTTGGAGCAGTGACGTCACACTTACGGGGTCGGCAGAAGCTCGGAGCTCGCCACACCCTGTGTTTCTATAGTTCCCGTGGCTCTACAGCAACTCAACCCTCTGACGTCATCGCGGCACTGCGGCGGCGCTGCTTTCGGCATTGCGCATGCGCACCAGCTTCACTGAAATCTGGTATCTGCGCACACACATTGCCCACACCTAGTTTCGGCGAACGCTGATTTGTTTATAGAGGGTGCGTTGGTCTATATAGTGACTGACAGTTAAAGAAACGCAGCCTGTCCTATTATGGTCATATACTTCTTCATGATTAGTCATTTCCCGTTCTAATGTAGCAACCACATTGGTTGCAGGGCGAAAATAAGGTGTTCAGAGCTCGCCCCTAATTACTTCAGATTAAACTAGTGACTTCATATTAATCGAGTTCTCAGCACTCGGTCGCTAGTGTAACGAAGGAGAACGTCTCAGAATCAGAGCGATACTTGTATTCAATTCAATAACCGTGGTAAAAAACAAAAACAGTCCAGGTCTTCGCGGAACGATACAAATTTACCTCGTCATCTGTTGAATTTAGGTATATATAGGTGTACCTTAGATTAAATTTATGCAGACTTGTGCCTATCTCGAATACTCTACTCAAGATACTGTATCTTAAATACTTTTTGGAGTATCTTGGTATCTTGCAAATACCTCTGATGGAGAGTATATAGTACTCTATCTTAATTACAATTCCGAGTATCTTGCACTCATTATCTTAAATACATTTTTGACATTCCGTCATTTTTCGAGTGGCACGGGCAAACGTAAACATTCTTTCGAGCAACCGAATCCTGTTGCTAGCTCCGATTAGCTACGGTGACTTTAACTGAGCTCGTGAGAATACCGCTTTTTTTGCCGACTGTGACTCATATTTCAGCCCAAAGTTCGTACAATGATGTTTCTCCCCTCGCCTTCTCCAGGGCGCCTTTTGTCTCTATAAAGTTTTCCCCAAAAAATCCTCAAACCAAAGGTGGGTTTAGCGGAAGTAAAGATGCCACCCTGAGGCGCAAGCAAACCGGTAAACGACCTACGAGAACAATGCAGACTTAAGTGTCAAGAAATAACAAATAGAAAGAAATGAGAAGTGAACACACACAAAAAAATAGACATTTTTGTTTTGTTTTTTGTATATTTGACCCAGCTAAAACAAAACGTCGAGTTTTTTTTTTTTTTTCTTTGTGTTGTCAGTCCGGCACTTATTTCTCTCGCGAACACTGTCTGTAAGCGAACATTGATA